TAAAATTGCAGTTCATTTATTTTCAGCTCATAATAAATTTATTACGTTCCGAATAATTGTCAATACGAAGAGTTTTGCCAATAAGACTTATTTTTGACTTTGGCTTCCTTTCTAGGGCGCAAATTCTACCAATTTCGTATTCAATTATTTACCTCAATAGCTGTAAATTTTTTAAAACAGTTTGTCACAATTATGGAAAATAAAACTATCTTATTTTGTGAACATAGTATGCCTAAGTAACAATACTTGTTTAGGCTCTAGCTGCCAACCGTGCCGATCACGCTTTATCCAGAATCCATGACAATCTCAGCACTCGGTTGAATATTAGTTTTCAAGGAGACGAAGATATTGAAGATGTTATATTGAAACTGTCATCTCCTAATTTGAACATTCGGCGTGCTCCAGTCCGAGAATCACAGCCGAGAGAGCAATTTGAAAAGCATGCTCTGGAAACAGGTTAAAGTACTTCGAAAGGTTCGCAGTGAATATGTAGATAACAAATTCTTTTAGAAAACGACGATTTAAAGCAGCTTCAAGACAGCTCTAAGGATAGCTTCAATGTGCACAAAGATGGAAGTAGGACACATGTGCCGTCTGGAATGCGGCCTATTGCAATTCCCGGTTAGTTACAGTTTCCAAAATTAAGCAGGTCATAACTTATGCTCATCTCATTGATGGAAAGTATTTAGAAATGGCTATCTTCGAGAAGGAGCACGAGGGAGAAAATATCTTGGAAGAATTGGCAGAAATTGATGATAGCGACGAAGACGATGAAGAGGATTCTGGCGAGGATGATGATGTCCCTATACACCAAAACGGTAAACAGTGGTTTAATTAAGCAAAATCCAACAGCTAACTTTAGGAGAGATGCTTAAACCTGGGTATTTCATCTCTAAAACGTAAAACCTCACTACTTACCTCAAATCCTGTGCAAAGTAATTTTAGAGGGTGTGCTGAAAGTAAAACTAAGCTTTGAGAACTCTTATTTCCCGCGTCTTACGACTTTTAATTGAAGGAAACGTTGTTTGAGGGACGACAGCATAGCCCTTCTGCACTGCTCACTCGCTCCGCCCACTTGTCTCTCTGATTGGTCAGGCTAAGGCTAAATACTCAGCTGATTGGTTGATGAGAGGGGGCGGGGCGACAGATGAGCACAGAAGGGCCTGCACCCTTTGAGATGGTCTTTACAAAGCATTTATTGCAAATATTCTTTAAAATTTTCTTCTTCTAATTTACTCTTACATTATGGTAAAGGCTTCTTACAAA